AGAAAAGCTTTTACAGTTTAAACCAAAGTTTAGTTAATTGACCTATCTATATCCACTATATTTACAGATAAAGTTGCATAGAAGAAAAGTGATTTGCTTTAAGTCATATGTCAAATCAGTGATAGATTGGAATTAGAAATCAATCAATTAAAAATATTTGTTAACGCTTAATATGTGCCAGGCACCGTCTTGGGCCATAAGTTCAAAGCATTGTTTAGGGACTTCCATGGTTTCTTACATCGAGCCGGCTCCCTCATCCACTATTCAGGTAGCTCCGTTTTAATGTCCCCTTACCCACCAGGTACTCACTCTCTGGCCTGAACTGTTCACCTCATTTGTTCCTGAGTGCCTTGTCCCATACGATTACTGATCCCCCTAGCAACTGACCCCAGTGACTGGCTTTTTTCTTTTTTTTTTTGAAACGGAGTCTCACTCTGTTGCCCAGGCTAGAGTGCAGGAGTGCAGTGGCATGATCTTGGCTCACTGCAAGCTCCACCTCCCGGGTTCACATCATTCTCCTGCCTCAGCCTCCCGACTAGCTGGGACTACAGGTGCCCGCCACCATGCCCGGCTAATTTTTTGTACTTTTTGGTAGAGATAGGGTTTCACCACGTTAGCCAGGATGGTCTCGATCTCCTGACCTCATGATCCACCCGACTCGGCCTCCCAGAGTACTGGGATTACAGGCGTGAGCCACCGTGCCCGGTCATGACTGGCTTTTCTATTTGCAGCCTTACTGTGTTGGGTCTGCATTAGGCTGCAAACGGGAAAGCATCCCTTCCTCTAATCTCTCATTTCCCTCCTTGACTTCAGTTTTCCCTCTGTAGTTGATGTTTTGGACCTTAGCCAACTCTTTTGGACTCTAGTACCCTTGACCTCAAGAACAGGATCCACATCAAATACATTCATTCATTCAACAAATGTTTATTGTGTACCTGCTTTGTCCCAGACACGTTCTAGGTAAGGAAACTGCAGTGAATCAGAGAAAAATCCCTGTCTCCATTGGGGCTTACAGCCCAGTGAGTGGTGATATTCAATAATCAAAATAAATGAATAAAACATGTAGTATGATATGTGCTTATTAGTGATACAGAGATAGAAAACAGTTCTGTGGGATCTCAAAAAGTTAAACATATAATTACCATAATCCAGCAATTTGACTTCTGGGTGTATACCCAAAAGAATTGAAAGCGAGGACTTGAAGAGATATGTGTACACACATGTTCACAGAAGCATTATGCACAATAGTCTAAAAGCTGAAATATCCCAGATAGCCATCATGAGATGAATGAATAAACAAAATGTTGTACAGATGTATGTGTGTGTGTGTGTGTGTGCGTGTGTGTGTATATATATATGTGTATAGTGAAATATTAATCACCCCTTAAAGAGGAATAAAGTTCTGACACAGACTGCAATATGCATGAATCCTGAAGACGTTAGGTAAGTGAAATGTTAGACACAAAGGAACAAGTATTATATAATTCCACTTATGTGGGATATTTGAAATAGGCCAATTCATAGACACAGAAAGTAGAATTGTGGTTTCCAGGGGTGGTGAGCCAGGAACAGAAAGTTGTTTTCTAATAAGTATAGAATTTCTGTTTGGATGATGGAAAAGTTCTGGATATGAATAGTGGTGACAGGTTTTCAACATTGTGAATACACTTAATGCTACTGAATTTTATTCTTAAAATTTGTTAAAATGGTGAATTTTATGTTGTGTGTCTTTTACCATGATTAAAAATATGCTACAAGCAAAAATAAAGCTTGACAGAAAGAAGTGTCAGGGTGGTGATGAGCAGGTTATGTTTAAATGGAAGGAATTGCTGAGCAGATGACACTTGAGCAAAGACCGGAAGAAGCAAGCCCCATAGCTGTCTGGAAGAAAAGTGTGCCAAGGAAAGGGACACCACATGCAAGGGCAGCATGATAAGACAGAACAGCGTGGTGTTCAAAACTGAGCCCATCTTGGACGTGAGTCTCAGTTCCACACTTATTTTCTGTGTGACCTTACACAATGAACTTTTTACTGTGCAAGTTGTTTATTTGTATATAACAGGGATATTAATACCTACCTCAATTGGCATTATTAGGAGTCAGTGAAATAATGCATGAGAGATCCTTCAGCACAGAGCATGACACCAGACTGACTTTTAGCCAGGGGTGCCAGCCCAGCCATCCCTGGGTCTATGGCTGATGTCTGCTCTGGTATGTTCTTCTTGGTGCCTGTGCCATGCTGTTTACATATTTTGCCCCCCACCTGCCTGGCACATAGTAAATGGTGAATAAATGGCCAATAATTATTCTTTCCTGACTCCTTGATTTTGATTCAGGCAGTGTTAAAGTACATGAAAGCACTATAATCAGTACGTAGATGGTCATCAATAAATGTTACTTTTCTTCATCCATTCTCTCACTCATTCTTTCATCTGTCAGAAATAAAGGAGAGGCAGTCCCTGTTGTCAAGATGCTTGTTATCTTATAGCCAGGCAGTCTAGTAAAATGTGCAGGATAAGCCCGTAACCATCTCTGGGCACTCAGGGAGAGAGATGTGGCCAGAAGTACACAGAAAGGTCTGTCTGAGAACTGGGGCTCCCAACCTGGGTGAGACTGGGGTTCGTGGCCAGGGAAAAGAGCCAGCATGGGAACTATGGTGGCGACATGGGTCGTGGCTGGAAAGGGAGAGCACAGCTGTGGACAAGAATCATTCAACTGAAATATTTCCAGTCTTATTGATACTGCTCTAGGACGTCTTAAAACACCCATTTCTGAGGCGCCTGGGTAGAGTTGCTCTGGATCTTTTCCATTTGCCCCTCCACGGCCTCTGTCTCTTCTTCTCTACCTGGTTCTGTGCCACTGGAGGCTTCCTGGACTTCTGCATTATTTTGCTTGGCTGCCATAACAAAATACCACCAACTGGGTGGCTTAAACAACACATATTTATTTTCTCACAGTTTTGAGGACTAGAATTCTGAAATGAAAATGTTGGTGCAGCTAACTTCTTCTGAGGCCTCTCCTTCCTTGACTTATAGATTGCCGCCTTCTCTGGGGCTTCACGTTGCCTTCCTTTTGTACATGTCTGTGTCTGAATTTCCTCTTTTTCAAGGATACTAGTTAAATCAGATGAGGGCCTACCCTATTTACTGCATTTTAACATAATTACCTCTTTCCAGAGCCTATTGTTGTATACAGACACATTCTAGGGTACTGGAGATTAGGACTTCAACATATGAATTTTGGGGAACACAATTTATCCTATAATAGTTCATGACTCCTGGTTCAGTGTGGCCAACAGGGAGCATCAGCAGAGGGTTGGAGGGTGGGAGAGAGTGAGTTGGGGTATTGATCCCCTCATTACTGGCCTATGGTGTCACTGAGGATTAAACATCACAGCTCCTGTCAGGCAGCCCTCTCTATGTCAGGCAATATGACCTCCTGTCAGGCAATCCACACCACCCTTCTCTAGGGTCCAGAACCACTGTCTCCCCTTCCTCTTTCAGAGCTATGATGATAATGGAGCCCAGTATTACTATTCCTGTTTCCCCTTTACTTGCCCTACACCTTTGTAAATAGGCCCTCTGTTAAACTCCCTTCATGTTACCCAATTTGAGTGTGCCATCCGTTTCCTGCTGAGATCCTGAATGCTGGGGGAGGGGTGGAAGACGCAAGGAGAAATTATTTCACTTTAATGCTTATGTGAACTTTGCAGGCAAAAGACTTTCTTAAACATGTTTTCTTGGGGCTTGTTGTGGCATCCTCTACTGTCTGCTTTGTTCACTAACACTGGAGTAAATGGTCAATAAATGTTTCACTTTCTTTCCTGAATACAAAAGAGTCCCTGATGTAATTATTTTGGAACTGCCTGTGGGAATCCTGAGAGGAAACAGCAAGGAAAGACAGCCAGGGTCTTGTGCCAGGGACCTGGGTGGGTCACAAACAGGCCCTGGGCTTGGTGGCTTTCAAGCCGTTTTTCTATTTTCCACTCTGTGTGCCAATCAGCAAAATAGAGACAGTGGCAGCAGCTTGTCCCCCTCCCACCACAGCAGTTGAGCTGAGACAGTGGAGGTGCAGACACTGGTCACTTCTTTAACTCCATCTGGTACCAACACCCCCCACCTTGGAACTCTACCATACTGGCTTCTCATGGTTCCCTGAACACTTCATGCTGTTATTTGCCTTAAGGTCTCATCATCTTTTTTTCTATCTGGGAGACTCATCTCTCAATTTACCTGATGAACTCCTGCTCATCCTTTGGAGTTCCATGCCAACTTTCTTTCCCCCTCAGGGTAAAAAAAAGCCTTCCTGAACATCCCTCCTGTTCCCAGTGAGGATCAGGTAACCCAGCACCTGTTTTCAACCTCCCTGGAACTTCTCCTTCATATCATTAAAACTGTGATTAAACCATCATCTTAAAATTAATGGTTTACCTTTTGTATTTCCCATTAGATGGAAGCTCCATGAGGGCAGGGATTGTGTCTTTCTTGTAACAGTCAGTACAGTAAGAGCAGATGGCGAGGGTGTGAATTCTGCTCCATCACTTGCCAGCTGTGTGACCTTGGGTGTATGACTCAGTCTCTGTGCCTCAGTTTCCACATTTGTGAAGTGGGGGTAAAAATAGGACCTATTTTCTAGGACCATTGTGAAGATTCAATATGTTGATAAGTGTAAAGCATGTATGACAGGGCCAAGCACATAAATGTTGGCAATTACTAATGATTTCTCATTTGGCCCTCAACAAATAACTGTGGAATGAAAAAGGGTTAAGGGTAATTTGCTGGACAGAGCTAAGAAAAGGCCTGCCCACTTCAGTGTGGTCTCTCTGTGGCTTGACAGCCACAGATTCACATGACAGGGGAGGCTCCATGGCAACACTTATTATACCAGGGAACATGCCCTTGAAAGTTGTACAAACACAATGCAGTCTCCGCAGTGAGAAGGCTGGCCAGTCAGCCAGTGCTGGGATTGCTGGGTCCTATGGAGAGGGGTGCAGTTAACACATGTCAATCCAGCCTCAGAGCCCTCCATGTATCGTCCATGGCAGCCTTGAAGAGAAGGTAGCAGAGATGTATTGGCTGTTTGCCCTCAAGACATTGGTAACTTGGGGAATGTTTGAAAACCACACTTTCTTAGTTTCCTTATCTGCCTTCACACTGTAACTAGAAATAAGACTTTTCTGGGCATATGTTCTGGGGCAAGTGTTGAACCATCTCAATTTGTCGTTTCCTCATTCGTTAAATAGAGACAATAGCAAAGTATCATTGTCTTAATGACTACTTTTATCCAATATCTAATGACCTCATTAACAGATATGTAAATAAACATGCACACACATACACACATACAAGTGATCTCACACCATGGCTGAAACAGCTATCACAAAGCATATGCATTGAATCTCATCCTCATTAGCTAGATAAGTCTGTAAGGCCATCACTTATGATCAATTTATACCTACTTTACAGTTATTATAATCCTGATTGTCTGGTTTCTTGGTTTGAAACACATTAGAAATTATTATAGTAGGATAGTGAACCAAAAAGAGGCCATGGAAAAGGGATAATACTGCCAGAGGCAGAGACACCAACCATACAAAGTGACATTTATTTTTAAATCTTAGTAGTTTGGGGTCATTCCTTTAAGGACAAAGCTCTTCAAAATCTCTTCAATAATATCATTTCTTTTTAAAGTCATAATATTTTGACACTAGAAGAACCTAAGCAATGCTCTTGTCCAAAGCCCTTGTTTTCTAATGAGAGAAGGGTTAAGGTCGCAGATACACCCAGTCACCCCACAGCTGAATCTGGGTAGAGCCCCTACCACCTGGAAGTCCATGTGCGTTCTTCTAACTTTCTTGCTTTGCCTCCTCCTTTTATTGGTCAACACATACTTGGTAAACATCATTCAATCCCCAGGCCTTCACTGGGCACATACTTTCTGACCAGCAGGGACTTACATGGTGTCAAGGAATCTTTCCCTTCATGAATTTAACTGCTGAATCATTAATACATTTTTAGGCATTTTTAGATATGATAATTGGTAGCCTCAGGTTCAACTTCTATGTAAAACCTGAGGACACAGAGATCTTCATTCAGTACATTTTCCTTGTGACCCAGATCCACAGCAACACATGTCCAGGGTAGGATACTTAACAATATCCGTCAGGAAGAATTCCTTGGTAAGTGCTTGCCATGTGCTCAACATATTGTTATGGGGTCGGAGAGTGATAGGGAAAGAACAGACCGATGTAATTCCAGCCCTCTAGGAAATTATAATCTGAGAGATTAACAGAAACAAATGGTGAGAAGGAGCCTCCAAGGCAAGTGGGTTGCTGAGTGGGAGACAAGGACAGTGAAGCCTGCTCTGTCCTCTACTGTGGCTCTTCTGTCACCTATGGGTATTCAGCTAACCTCTGTGTGCCTTATCTGTAGAATGGGGATAGTACTCATACCGATCCCTTGCGGTGGTTGTGAGCATTGAAGAAAATAACACCCAGTACATAGGATATTTCCTGGAACATAGTCAACACTGAAAACACACTAAAATTGGAGTTTCCAATTCCACGGTAGAGACTAAGTACATGCGAAGAGTTTGTTTAGTCATATATCAAACATTTATTGATCTTCTATGAGCCAGGCTCTGTGCTGGGGGATGAGAATAAGGAGGTTAATAAAACAGGCCATGTCCTGAGACAACTTACAGTCTAGAGCAGGGGTCAGCAAACTCTACCCCTGGGCCCAAATTCCACCCAGTGTCTGTTTTTCCAAATCAAGTGTCATTGGCAGAGTTGAGTGGTTGCAATAAAGACTCTAAGGTCCCCCAAACCTAAAATGCTTCTCTAAGACCTTTTACAGAAAAAGTTTGCCAACCTTAGTTTACGGACTTGCAGCTTTAAGTGTGGCCTTTGGACCACAGTGTCAGCATCAGCTGAGAGGAGTAATAGAAATGCAACATCTCAGGCCTACACCCCAGACTGACTGAATCCGAGTCTGCATTTTAATGCCACCATAGGGTCCTTTAGATGCACCTTAAAGTTTAATAAGCACTGCTCTAGCAGATGCCAAAGACTTAAATGAATCTCTCACTGAGATACACTGAAAAGGTGCTATGATAGAGAGTTGGGTAAAGGGCCACTTCTTGAACATTTACTTTGTGCCAGAGGCTGGCCTAAATGTTTTATTTACAGTACCTTATTCAGTCTTAACAGTGGTTAAGAAGAGGGCACTACTTTTAACTTAACTTGAAGAAACCAGAACTTAAAGGGGCTGGGTGATTTTGACCAAGGCTGTCAGTAAATGAATGGCAGAGCTGGAGTTTGAAACCCGGTGAGCAAGTGCAAACCATTTTCTCTTCATCTTCATGTTGTTCTGCTTCCTAAAAGCAAAGCAAACAAGGGAGTAAGGAAGGATTTCACAGAGAAATCTTACAAACTTGGCTCAGTGCCTACCTGTATCAGGGTCCAATCAGGAAAACAGAAACCATTCAAAGAATGTAGAACAAAGGAAATTTAATTTGGAGAGTTGGTTACACAGTGATGACAGAGCTGCAAAGCTACAAAGCCATCAGGAGATTGTGAGGCACCCAGGGATTAATGACAGCAGGAAGGTGCTGCCACCCTTAGGTGGAGGGACAAAGTGTTGAGATGGTGTCACTGGAGCCCAGCAGCCAGAGTGACCTTGGGGAGCTGCACCCCAGTGGGCCTATCCAGTAGAGGGCCTAGTCATGGGACACAGAGCTGCTGCTGGTGCTGTCCAAGGTAGAGACCGGGGAGTAATGAGATTCTGCCGATCAGGACCATCTTTCACTGGTGTTTCCCCACTAGCTAGAAACCAGCTAATAATGCACGAGCTTGGAACACATAGCCTGCAGGGATCAGGCTTCTGCAGTACAGAGCAGAGCAAGCAAAGGGCAAGCAATGAAGCAAAGAGCAAGCAGGCCAGGGGAGGGCTCCCCAGTGCTCTGTAGTCTTCTCCCTGTGCCAGGAGCCCATCCTAGGCTCCCGTTTCCAGTCTCAAGCAGTATTTCAAAACTGTTTTCATGCCCCATATTAGTGTCCTTAGGTTCCTGTTCTTAGACTTTGTCTCTAGTTTTCTTTTTTTTCTTTCCGTTTGAACCCTTGGTTGCACCTTTTACAGTGGTGGTCCCCAAACTTTTTGGCACCAGGGACCAGTTTAATGGAAGACAATTTTTTCATGGACCAGGCAGGGTGGGCAGGGATGGTGTCAGGATGCAACTGTTCCACCTCAAACCATCAGGCATTAGATTCTCATAAGGAGCATGCCAACTAGATCCCTCACATGCGCAGTTCACAATAGGGTTCATGAGCCTATGAGAATCTAACACCACAGATCTGACAGAAGGCACAGATCGGGCAGTAAGGCTCACTTGTCCTCTGCTTACCTCCTGGTTGTGTGGCCCAGTTCCTAACAGACCACAGACCAATACTAATCCGTGGCCCTGGGATTAGGGACCCCTGCTTTAAACTGTCAGGTTCCTGAATTACCTTCTGCCCTGAGTCACTGTCTATCAGCTTTCCTGATTGCATACTCAGCTGCCTCTGGATCAAATTCACTATACCCCCATTGCCAGCTCTCAGATTCAGTGTTCTGGGCCTCCACTGGTACAGCAGATTGAACAGATATTGCTGAGTGGGGTTTTGAGTAACGAGTATAGTTCATCAGTTGAAAAAGGGTAGTCTGGCGCTCCCAGCAAGATGGGATAGCATAAAATGGGAGGCAGCTAAAGCTCAGGGCTAGGGGAAGTTTGTGTGGCACTCTAAAAGTGTTTGGGCTTTATTCCAATAGAGAGTCATTAAAATATTTATATAGAGACAATATATAATTGTATTTGTATTATGTAAACATTACTCTGGCTACAGAGTGATTGTTAGAAGAAACCAAATTGGGAATAGAGTGCAGTTAGAAACTTCATCTAGGTGAGGGTAACAGTTGACTTGACTGAGGAATGGCAGTGTGGATGGCCATGAGAGATGGTAGCAGACACTGTTGGCCACTATCCAAACCATCACCCTCCCTGCCTTTTTTTGCTGACAGAGACCTGATTTTATTTGAGTGCCTACTCTGTACTTAGACATATATTCAAGCAAGGGGCCCTCCCCAGATCATGGAGAGATTTGTTTATTTTAGTTATGGCCACTCTCTTTCCTTTGCCAGTGTTTTGATTAAGAAAGCCATGTGATACAATGCTGGCCCATGAAAGGACCTGAAAGTCTGATGGGGAGTAGGGGGTGAACTTTAGGGAAGGTGTTTTCTGACTCTTAAAAAGAGATGGGCAAGGAGAAACTCACCTTTTTAGCCTCCAGTTGACCTTGAGGGAAGAAACCAGCCCAGGAATGTGGTGGTCATCTCGGATTTATGAGGGGATTAGCTGAAGAGGAGAAGCAAAGCCCTTGGGCATGGAAAGAACTTACCTGGAAAGTGACATTAAATTTTGTTTTTTTTATTTTTTGAGACGGAGTCTTGCTCTGTCACCCAGTGGTGCAATCTCTACTCACTGCAACCCCCGCCTCCCGGGTTCAAGCAATTCTCTGCCTCAGTCTCCCAAGTAGCTGGGATTACAGGCACCCACCACCATGCCCGGCTACTTTTTTCTATTTTTAGTAGAGATGGCATTTCATCATCTTGGCCAGGCTGGTCTTGAACTCCTGACCTCGTGATCCACCCACCCTCGGCCTCCCACGGTGCTGGGATTACAGGCATGAGCCACCACTCCCGGCAGAAAGTGGCATTGAATTTTTAATTACTCAATCTTGGAAACTTGAGATGTGAGACAATAAACTACTTAAAGCTACTTAAGCTACTTTAGTTTTTGTTGTTGTTGTTGTTTTTAAAATAACTTGCAGCCCAAAGCATCCTAACTGATAAGGAAAAAAAAAAATCAAGAGTTCATAGGATTTGATGGCTTGACTGCTTGTGAGTGGTGAGGAGAGGGATGACTGTAAGAGAAGTCATTAGTTTTGAGCTCAGGTCAATAGGTAGAAAATTGTGCTAGTTACTAAGGTGAAAATCCCAGACAGAGATATTGGTTTTAGTAGAATGGTGTGAGTAAGAACAGACATATTTGGAAGTAGCTAAAATGCAGCTGGTGTGCAGGATGTGAGAGAAGGATTATGGGGAGCTGAGGCTGGAAGGGAGGGTTGGCATGTAATGCCTGGTAATGATGTCACATTGATGGATCTCAGGTCTGTTATTTGCCATCTCTGTGATCTTGTGGATGTTGCTTAACTTTTCTGAGCTTCAGTTTCTTAATCAACAAAATGAGGCTAATACTGCCTAGTTCACAGGGTTATCATTGTAAAGACAAAATGCAATCAGTGAATAAGTTAAACATGTTATTAATTATTTAATGGGACACGTGGGGAGCTCTGGCTGGTGATGTGCTGAGTACTGCACTAGGTTTCAGCTGGGAGGGCTGTGCCATGGGTTAGACAGAGGAGCAAAGGCTCTGCTAAGTCCTGCTAAGATCTAAACCTGTAATTAACAAACATTTTATAGGCTCTGAATCTTTTGTTGTAAAGAAAGTGTATCCAAAATGTTAAAAAATAAAACTAACAAAACAGAGTGCTTTATTGGAAGAGGAAGGAAAGTGGAGCTCACAACAACCTCCTCTCCCACTCCTAATTTAGAAACTCCTGCGGGGGAGTGGGATGGGGATAAGGAGTCTGTAGATCTCTGTTGGAAACAGTTTGGAAATTGCTAATGCAAACAGGACGTACTGAGGACTATGGCTGTGGAGCGGGTGTAACAGAGTGTGAGATGTGGAGGAGGAGCACTTTTGGGAGAAGCAGGGTGTTAATTAATGTGTGTAACACTGAACCAACTTATTCAACTAAACTATATAAGTCTCTTTCCTAGAGAACTCATACTCATCCTTCAGAATATAGCTCAAGTGTCACCTCTGCCAGGAAGGCTTCCTTGACATGTACCAAATTATCCTTTCCCTGTGCTTGCTCTGACAGAGAAATTGCTTCCTTGTTAGTCTGCCTGCCCATCTGACTCTGTTCTGGGCTATGTCTGATTGGTTGGTGTGCCCAGCCAGGGACTTTGCACTTGTCTGAATTGTCCCTCCCTAAATGAGTAGTGGGTGGCCTAATGGAAGTATAGTCTGAGGGTTCAGATTTAGGAAATGAGGCCTAACAGATGAAGGTAGGACTGGATGTCCACCCCAAGAAAGTCACAGAGTTGTGATTAACGGCAAGAGAAAAGGAGATAGGGAAAAGTTAGGACCGAAATCTCAAAGACTAAATAAACCCCAGCAGATGGGAGCCAATCAGTAAGCAAAAGGGAATAGGCCTGATAGGCCTGGAGGTGAAAAATAAGACGCAAAAAGTTTAAATAGTAGTACCAAAAGTGGTCTTGCGGCCAAGACTCTGACTATCACACACAGACCTTCTCACCCACACTCCTCCCTTTTCCCTCCAATGACCAGCACAGCAAGGGCGTGCCACTGCCTCTCCAAAGACTTGTTGATAGAGTGATTAAATGAAACCATGCTGTCTTAATTCTTTTCCCAGTTTTCAGCTGTTTGTTTAAATGGAGTTTTCCTGACCCTACTTGGCATTTCAACCACGCAAACTCAGTGGTCTGTATGTTGTTACACATCAATACAAGCACCTCCTCTCCTCCCCTGGCTCTCCCACACTGGTTCTTGGTGTCCCAGATCAAAGAGAAATATTGTTCAAACTGCAGATGAAGAAACAAGGCTAGCTGCCTTTGATGTCAGGCAGCAGCAGTGTAATCTGTGCCCCCGACTTGCTTTTACTGCCGATGCAATTTGCAGCTGCGATGTTGAGTCTAGGTAATTGTTTCTCCAGCCCAAACGCCACTAGTATTTTTTATTTAAGTGCAAATTTTCATTTGGCTAAATAAACGGTTCTTGTCTGCCCCCAGCGGACGGTGGCCCTGAAACACTGGGTGCTGGCGGTTTTCACGAAAACAGTGCCCAGGTAATCAGAAAGGCCTAACAAGAGGCCATTATGTAGAGTGCGCCCTTCTTTAACTTTCCCTTTTATTGGAATGGTGTAATTTCAGTTTCATAAATACTAAGAGGTTTACCGCTGGGCACCGGAGCTATCCGTCTCATTCACCTCGGAAATTAAGGCTGCCGCCTTTCCCTGCAATGTTTCTCTTTGTCTCTAATTTCACTTTAGCTGCCTTTAGGAACCAAGCCAGGATGTAAAGAATTCAGATCATTTTATTTTTTACAAGGTCAGATTTCTCATGATTTCTAATAGAGAACATTGAAAACCTTTTTATTGAGGGGCAATCCTTCTTCTAATATATCTCTCCTTCCAGACACAGTTGCAATCAAAGACATTAACATAAAACCTTAATCTTTGTTCAAGATTATAATAGTAGTAGTAATAATAACAACAGTGGCGGGAAAATGCCACGTACTCATGAACGCATAGCAGATACAGTTCTAGGCGCTGCATGCACATTATCTCATTTAACCCTTGCAACAATGCTGCAAGGCAGCTGTGATAGCTCTATGTAGCAGAAGAAGATGCTAAGACTCAGAGAAATTAACATCTTCCCCCCAAAATTACACAGTGAGAGAGAGGCAAAGCCAAGACTGGAACTCTGGATTCTCTATTAAACTTTGAGACAGTGTTTTGCCTTAGATATGGTGGGAAAGATGGGGTGGATTTTCACAAATCCATGAGTTATGTTCAAGTCAAAAATGGCATTGGTGCTAAGTAGTGAGGCAGAGGGCCCATGCCCCGTTTTGCTGAGTTGTGGCTTATAAAACACTAGAATGCCGAGGTATCACAATGCCTTTTCTGTCTGTCCAAACGTCTTCCCCACTGTGCTGCCTTTCCTCTCTTGCCCCGTGTTCCTTCACAGGGAAGTCCTCCCTGATCTCATCAGCAGCCCCTCCCATGTGCTGCTGTGGCTTCTTTCCCTGACTTTTTTCATGGTGTTATCACATGGTGGTGTAGCCTTGATGTCTGACTGTCACCTCCACCAGGCTCCAAGCTCCTTGAGGACGAGATTGTGTCTTATTTGACACCCTTTCCTAATGCCTGGCAATGTGCTTGGATGGTATGCAGGAAACATTTGTTGATTGAATAGAGTGAATATACAGATAGGTAAACATCCTACTGCCTTCCCACTGAGAAAGTTAGTTAACATGATTTCCCTTCATTCCTAGTATAATTCTAGAATCATACTTATTTTTTCTGAATGAGTTCCTGGCTTTCCTATTTTCCAAACCAAGATGGGGTCAAGCATGTGCTAAACATTTCTTCCTGGTGGCTATTTCCCAAAAATTAAAGAATATATGAGTAGTGCTCCCAAAAGATTTCATATATTAGAGTTCATTAGAAGATAAATTTTAAATGGATGGGCAAATTGTCACAACACCTAACACATAGCAGATGCCAAGTAAATGTGGATCTTCCTCTACCACTTGAGATTCCTTTCAGTAAAATGTCTCTAACCCATGTTTCATTTTTTCAATGTCTTTCAAAATATACTCTATAAAAGTCTTAAGGCAAAGCTCTTGTTCAAGCAATACCCTAACCTTCGGAGGTGAGAGAAGAGCTCTAAACTAAGAACCTCCACTTGGGGAGAAACTGGAATCCTCAATTTTGACTTCTGTTATGTTCCCTATTTTAAACTCTGGTTTAAGTATAGGCAGAACCCAGCCTTCTCTCTGGATCTCCTTAGCATAGTAGTGCCAGGCTGACATTTATGGAAAGAACTTTACTACACATGCTGGGAGAACCATAGAGGAAATGGTTGATAGAAACAAAACAAACAGTAAAAATAGCCGTATGTTGCCTTCCCCAGCAGAGTGTGAACACCAGGAAGTCAGGAACTAAACTTAATTCATATTTATGTTCTATCCCCTCATGTGGAATATGTTCAATAAAGACTTGAATGAATGATGAATGTGGAAAGGAATGAATAAACCAAATATCAAAGAGCTTGGGAAGACCCTAAATGTCTGTAGATGTCATTATGTAGGCCTTCACAATTTTGCACAAATTTCTCTTTTTCTTTGCTTGATATTTCATTCTTTTCCCATCTAACTTTTTATTTTCAGGTAAATGCTGTTCTGCTTCCTAAGAGAGCAAATTTCCTATTCTGCCATGGATAGAAATACTACTCTCAGATCCACTGGTCCTCAAGCTCCTCCCACTCAGTTCCAGTTTTCTATGGGATGGGGGTTTGGGGTCATGCATAATTCACTGCTGATTGATTCAGCAGATGTGAGTGGCACTCAGTGAGTCCCTGTATCAGGTCAAGCTCCTCCAATACTAGGCCTTCCCACCTTTGGAGCCTTATTTAAAAGGCCCATGTTTGGCTGACTGACCTAGTAGGCATATAATGAGAATTAATATGGAGGCATTAATAAAATGGCAATAATCCTTTATTTTTAGCTTCTGATGGATTCATGGTAAGTTTTTCTTCTTAAAATGCTTCTCCTTTAAAAGTTAATTGCCTTTCAGAGGGCACACCTAGAGAGGAATAAACCTCAGAGCATAGTTATTGAATTCTCATTATAGAGCTCGGGATGCAATAATAACTGCTATCTACTGATACCTGCTCTCTCCTAAGCACCTTACATATGCTATAACTTTTAGTTCTCACTCTAGACATGCTATACAGGGGTTATTATTGTCTCTAGGCAATTGTTTTCATTATATATTAGAGGAAATGTAGACTGAGGAAACTTACACATTTTACCTAATACCACGTGGCTGGGGAGTGAGTGAGCCAGAATTTGAACCAATAATTGTCAGATTCCACAGCTCATGCTCTTTGCACTCTAGCTTGCAGTTATTCCATAAGGACCTCACAGCATATGATGGAGGTATCTGCTGGAAAGTGCTATGGGAGAGCTAATGCCATGTGTTGTTGGAACATCAGGAGGAAGGAGAAGAAGAGCAAGTAGTTTTGAAAGGAGAGGACATCTTATTGGGCTTTGAAGAGTGAATATGGGTTTGCTGACCAGAGAACAAAAGGGAAGAAATTCCAAGCAGAAGGAACAGCAGGGGCAGAAGTACAGAGGCATGAGAATTCATGCCTGCCATGTTCAGGAGTAGTGAGTGATTCCCTGGTGTGGGAAAACATGGTAGTATAGGATGGCTGAGACAGTAGGGTAGAGATGGGGCATGATGGCCAGAGGGAGGACTGGAGAGGTGGGTTAGAACCTTAAAAGCTGAAAACCTTGTGCTGTGGTTAATGAGGTACCATCAAAGACTTCCAAACATCAAATCAAGTGACTGCATGATGTCCATCTCCCCAGGACCTTACACTAATACTGGGACAGCACACTCAGTAATAGACAGGAGTCAGGATATGAGCTGGGAAAATCTCAGTAGGATGCTTTAAATCACTCCAGCTACGTCTACAGGCAGGAGACTTCAAACCAAGAAATATTCTTTAAACAACAATGTGTGTATATCATGACAAACTGCCTTTAAATGTGTTAGGTGTTGAGCTGGGAATTTGATTCTGGGTGGTGGTGTTATCAAGAGAGATCAGCCCACAGCATTCAGGCTCTGCTAATGAATTCCTTTCCCAGACCCCCTGTTTGAAGTGGAACATAATGAGAGTGATGATTCTACCCCATGCAGGGCGGACTTGGAAACTGTCTAATTAAATACACTACATTGAAATACCTTATTGGAAATATATAACAATACCTCAATAGGAAAAGTGGGTGAGGGTTGGAGCCTGTAGGGGGAAATTATTTCATTTCACTGAGAGGTTTTAATACTTTTTTTTTTTTTGAAAGAGACTGGTTGTATTTAAAAAATAAGGTGGTTAGGAGCAGTGGCTCATACCTGTAACCCTAACACTTTGGGAGGCTGAGGTGGGGGTATTGCCTGAGTCCAGGAGTTGAAGACCAGCCTGTTCAACATAGTGAGGCTATGTCTCTACGCAAAAATTTTTGAAATTGGCCAGGCATGGTGGTACACACTTATGGTCCCAGCTACTCAGGAGGCTGAGTCGGGATGATTGCTTGAGCCCAGAAGGTTGAGGCTGCAATGAGCTATGATCATGCCACTGCACACCAGCCTGAGTGACAGAGGGAGACCTCATCTCAAATAAATAAATAAATAAATAAATAAATAAATAAATAAATAAGGTTATACATAACGTTTTGAATTAAGAGAAATAAAAATATCAAGATTATCTGGAGCCACTGGTTTGCTCACCTATACTAAGGACAGCAGCGTCAGAGTATTTGCCTTACTTTATAAGGAGCTTCTAAACTAAAGGATCCTAGGACAAGATCCCGCAAGGACATTGGGTATAGATCCAATTGCTCCATCTGTCCTGTCTGCATTAGGTCCCACCACTCCTGAGTAAGAGACAATGTCACAAGCCAACATCACCTATAAAAAAAGGATTCATTTTTTACTCCTGATAAAATAACCATTCTTTCATTTCACTGGCCCTCATTAAATGCCTAACATAAAATCCCAAAGGTATCCTACCCATCTGCTTTCAAAAGCAATTTCACAGTCATGTAACAAAATGCACCTATGCTATTAACCCGTTTGTGTGATGCTAGCCTTTAAATGTATGTGATTTTCCAAACATGTTTCTCCAGAAGTAACCATTATCACTTCTTCCACATTTCTTGTAACAAGCACATGTTTATCCAATTTGTGTGTGTGTGTGTATATATATATATAAAATTATAATTATATATATATTTTACATAGATAATTTTCCCCCTCTGAAATAGGTATTTCTCCATCTTATAGAGGGAGAAACTGAGGCTCAGAGAGACAGGAGAGACTGACCCAGGGATCTGCTGACCAGTCACTGGTGAAC